ACACGCACACACTCTCACACACACACAAAAACAAACAAACAACAACAACAACAACAACAAAAAAACAAACAAAAAAAAAAACGGGGGGGGAGAGGAAGATATAACAACCACAATTTTTTTTGAAGTTCTTACAACAAGCAAATGGAGGGGACACACTTGGGTGGGAGGGGGGAGAGGGAGGAGGGAGGGAGGTTTCGGTGATGGGACACAATAATCAACTACATTGTATATTGACAAAAAAAAAAAAAAGATATACCCTTCGCTCATTAACCATGATTAAAGAGTAGTATGAGAATATTTGGTTTAAAAAGAAAATCTCTATGTGCTTGTTTGTGTTGTTTACTATATTGCTGCTTCCTTGAAAGGTATGGTTTGCCGGTGAACTTCCAAGCAATGCTACTTCAGCCCAATAAGAAAACAATGAAGAAACTGAGAGAAGTATTATATGAATTGTATAAACATCTAGACAGCAGTGCAGCAGCTATTATTGATGTAAGTACTTCCTAGATAGCCTGGTAGAGTACGAATTGGAATGAATTTCAGAAAAAAAAGGATCGAAGGAAGATAGAAAAAGGATAATAAATATCATGATACTTAACCATCTTTTATTACTCTGGGGTTCTTAGTTTGTTAGATAAACATAGCAAGTAATTTACATTGTTACCCTGTTTTATACCATTATAGCTGTTCTTCGCTTCTTGGTATTTCTAAAAGTCGGTCATAATCTTGCTGTATATCAGATGTTTATAGCTACAGGAATACAGAAACAGTGATACTAGGTGTTTACAAAAACTAAATTGCAGAGAGGAAGAAAATAAGTAGTCAGTTTTATTTGGTAGAAGTAATGGAGTCAATAGACGAGCATTTTAAAGGGAACTATCATTCTTCTAAAGTGGTATGTGTGTGTATCTTCTTTTAAACAAAAGATAGACAGTATGTGTATTTTTTGTTTCTGTTTAAAATTGTAGTAAGGTTTTATTTTATATTTTTTACTTCAAATATCTTGCTGATTTTTTTTCTCTTTAGGATGATAGTATCTCACATGTGCATTAGTTAGAACCATGAAAAATCAGTAGATTGAAGAAAATGGAGGAAATGACTTGCTACATTTTCATGGAATTGTGGATAAAATATGAGATCTAATGATTGGGTACATAATTTCCTATAAGTTCTTATGCATATATGAGGGTATTTCAAAAAGCTCATGGAAAAATGGAGTTAAAAGATAAAATGAATCTTTCCATGAGCTTTTTTTGTTTTTGTTTTTGTTTGCACACTGGTGTCTCATCTGGTGAACTTTTTGAAGACCCCTTGTACAATGTGTTGTCTTTAAAACCATACTTGGTTTATTTATATCCAACATCTTGTAAGCCTGTATCCCATAAACTCAGTACCCCAAGCGTGAGATTTAAAAAGTAATTTTTTACGGTATACATGAAAAAGGATGGTAGAGTCATGGTTAAACCCATATAGGCTTTGGAGTCGAGTGCTTGAATCTGGTTTTACTACTCACTGTCTGTTTCCTATAGCAAGTCAACCTTTCACTTGCAAAATGGAGATAATGCCTAACTCAGATTAAATTAGCATAAGTGCATAAATTTAGCACAGAGTATGTGTTCAATAAAAAGGTAAATGGTAATACTTTTTTCCTTTTTTTGATTTCTGTAAGTACAAAATTGAATAATTGTCTGGTTTTTCCATAGGCTCCTATGGATATTCCAGGCTTAAACCTGAGTCAACAGGAATACTACCCCTATGTGTACTACAAGATTGATTGCAACTTGCTGGAATTCAAGTAAAAATGAGCTCCTCCTCAGACAATCCTGTCCTTGTGTTGGTGTATGCTAACAGGAATAGGTTGCCGTATGATAGTACTTTTAACTCTGTCACCCTTTGCTTGCTTCCTACCCCCTTTCCTAGGTGAGTTCTCCCATAGTGGTCCATCTCAACATTTTCTTTTTAAAGGGAAATATATGTATTATTTCTTTTTATTGATCAGGTCTGTAAATGTGTACTAAAAAAATCAGAGTTTATTTATAAACAGAATAGTTTATTTAAAGAGAAGGTCTTTTCCTCATTGATATTGTGGTATGCTTTAATTCCATTTGTTACTATTGTGCACAAAAGCCCTGTTTACAAGGGAATGGTGTAAACATACCATTTTGTTCACTGTATTTAGTAGACATAACTGTTTAATAGTTATTGAATCGTGATGTAAAGAAATGTGACAATATACAGGTATGTACTTTCTGAATGTTTCAAATTACAATCTACGAGCACTGTCAACACCAACAGGAGAGAATAAAATTACCTGTGCAAAGGTGTATTGTGGTGTGCGTCACTTCAGAACAT